TTTTATTTTTAGATTATTCATAGTTTTGTTTTTATTTGTTTTCTGATTGGGTGTTAGAAACATCACAGTGGTGAAGTGCTTAGCATTGTTGCCTTGCAGCACGAGGGATCTAAATAAATCTGCAGATCTGACCTCCATTCTGACTGCAGATATTCCTGAAAGACATCTTCATGCCTATCCCTGTCTAATTTCCAGAAAGGAAAGGTCTACTTCCACATGCGGCCATGTACGTGCTTAGCCAAGTTTTTGTAAAACAGAAAATCCTCCCCAGCCCATCTAGGAAAACATGGGTACACACCACCTTGTTTTCTGCAAAAACGTTCACGCTGATGACAGGCCAACCATAGGGATACCCTGCTACATTTGTAGGGATATCCGGCTACGTTTTTAGGGATATCCGGCTACGTTTGTAGGGATATCCGGCTACGTTTGTAGGGATATCCGGCTACGTTTGTAGGGATATCCGGCTACGTTTGTAGGGATATCCGGCTACGTTTTTAGGGATATCCGGCTACGTTTTTAGGGATATCCGGCTACGTTTGTAGGGATATCCGGCTACTTGTGTAGGGATACCCCATTATGTGTGAAGTTTTACACAGCTACGTGTGTAGGGATACCTGGCTACGTGTGTAGGGATACCTGGATAGGCATGTAGGGTTACCCGGCTATGTGTGAAGTTATACACAGCTACGTGTGTAGAGATTCCCGGCTACGTATTTAGGGGTACCCGGGTTACGTGTGTACATGCTCTGCAAGCAAAGGCAGAATGGCCAACTAAGGAGATGATACACATGCCTTACCAGGATGCCCACTGTCATTTTGTTATCTACAAGCAAAATTCCATTTTGTCCATAAAGCCCCTCGGCTTAAACTCTCGGCATTATTTCACCAGAGTGCAGAAACTCTTTCAACTATGCTTTTGGTCTTAAACCCTCAAGGGAAGCACACTGAAGGCCTTCACAAAGCCAGGCCACTGGGATGCAGAGAAGCGGAACAGGTGGTAAATATACTGAAAAAGAACAACCAAATATTGGCTTTCCATGCAAAACGCCACATTTACAGCAAAATTAAACATTACATATATACTCGGTCTCTCAAAGCATGTTGTGGCTAGAATTGATGACGATAAAGGTTTATGATGGTAAAGAAGGAAAAATCAGTAAAACAACATTTATGCAGTCAATCCAGTCCATCATCCGTCTCCAGCTGGAACCAAACACTACAAGTGCAGATCGTGACAGCATCAAAGGATGTGTCCCATCCTACAGTTTGGTAAGAAGAGATTTGTTATAGAGGGTGTGTAACATCCACAGCTGACATTTTGTGGAGTGTAATAAAATGTTGGGAAAAGTGAAAAAGTTTGCTGTAAGAGTTCTAATTATAGTTCTAATATGACTTCTCATAAGAACATTGGTTCAGGTTTCATAATACATTTAAGCATTTAGCATCACAAAAGCCTTTGAACAAAAGAAATGAAGAAATGCAGACAGAGGTGTGGCTGTATGAGGGCCAAAGGGGGCAAAGGCACACTATTTTTGTAATCCCCCATGCCAGATAACATTATATCCATGTTTTAACTTTAATTTGAGTGGAGCATTTATTTTACTCGTTTATTTCAGTTTATTAGTCCTTTATAGCCCAATACAGGTTTTTTTTGTCTTTTACAATTAAGCTCACATCAGAGGTGATATCACTTACATTTAGCTGTAGTTTTACACAATTTAACACCAATGAACAAAAAATCTGTTACTCCACCCACCCACCCCTCCACCCCCTAGATATCTAGTGGCCCCCATTTACCAGTTCCGTGAGTCTGGATACGCCCCTGAACATAAGTTGAATTCATGACATTTCCAACAGCTTTTCTCCTACGTCAGCTGAGTACACAGGGATCCTTTTTGCTAACAAGTTTTTGAACTCCAAAGGTTATAAATGGTCTTTGTGTTTACAGCTTGCTTCTGCTGCTCCCAAGTGGAAGACCAATCTTCTAATGCAGGCTTGAATTAATGTCAGAGTATCGATTTATTAGCCCTGAATGTGAATAGCTCCTGAACCATGAGTGTAAGTGCCATCAGACAACGGTGATTGCTTTTATAACAGCGCATTAGCTCCTCTCGGACTGCCGGTGGACCAAATCTCAGCACCGCTGCAGCATAATTATGTCCTAAATTTATCAAATTCTTTCAGCTTTAATTTTTTTATTTTTCTTTTTAGATGTGGTCACAGTCTGATTAAATAAATCCACACGGACAAACTTCAAGAAGCTGATTAACTATTTTCATACAACAGATTTTATTAGCTGTTTCAGCCACTAAAATGATGAAATATGCTGAATGAGAGCTTGAAGTACTTCTTGCTCCACTAGTTCCATGTCTTTTCTTACAAATGCAATTACTCTGGTTTGTTTCATCCAACTTTCTCCGTTAGATAATGACCTTAAGGAGGAATCACCCTCCTCCCATCCTTTCCAATCAATGCCACTTCATGCAGAGGTTTAGTGGCACCTCATATTGTAAAGCTCTGCAATCACTTGGCATCTGATAGAGGACATGGGGGGAATGAGTATAACGTCTGTTTCTACATGCTTTAAAGACCATATGCACACTGAAGCCTGAATAGAGATCCATGTGCGTCAGAAACCTCCTCACCCTGCCTGTCTGTAATGGCACAGGGCTCCTAACATGCGTACGTCACATTTGCTATTATGTAAAACCCTCTCTCTTTTCATCTCCCCCACAACATTTCCATTCTTTTGTCAAGCTCTGCTAAATGAAACCTTCATTCAACACCCAGCCGATGCTGAGTGCACACTCCGGCATGGCAAAAAAATAACATTTGAATTATGTAAAAAAAAAAAAAAAAAAAATAAGGGTGCCATGACAAGAAAAGAAAACGAATAGAGCAGGAGTTGAAATGGTGAAACTTGCTGCGGTTGAGAGCATAATAATTAGACATTCCTTTCTGTCTGTGCCAGATACAAAGACTTGCTAATGTGCAGCCTCTCTGCAACCAAGACACACATGTCTGCAGTCAGATCCTTAATGTGTAAATTTAACTTATATGTTTTACTAAAGCAACCTTGTGTTAAGCTGTTCTTCCACTGATGCCCAAAACACTGATTTAGATGTGTTCAGCATGCAGCTTCGGCACAAAACTTCTCTTTAAATCTACATTTCTGCAAATGTGCCCAAGTAAACTGGTAATGTGCCTTTATAAACTTCGAAGCGAATGATACTTGCCAATGTGTATTTGACCACAGGGGGCAGCATGCATCACGTTTATACACAATTCTTCATAAAAAGAAAACAATGTTGTTGTTTTTTGCAGAGATAAATAACGCCATGTTTGCCAATTTACTTTCATCTGCACTGATCAACATGCCGGCATTTCTGCACAGTGAACCCGTGCATGTGGCTGAAATCACATTACTGGCTCGGTAATGCAATATGAGTTAGGAGGGGAGGTTTGAATGAGGATGAGCTACAGAGCTGTCCTCAGAAAGACTAAGTGGGTTCGTGGAACCAATAAAGAAAAAAGAACAAAAAACAAGTTAAACAGATCTACTGACGCAAAGCATGCCGCCGTCATCCACCAGCAAGAGGACGTGAGACAGGATGATAAGTGGAGAGAGACGGCAACGAGTCCAGGACACCTGTCTGAAGTTAGACAGCAGCTAAGTCAGGACAGCAGGAGTTTATGCCCGATTTTTATTTTGATACATTTTTTTCTATTAAACGGTCATCAATCCATCACTGTGTATAAACAAATTTAAGTTAAGCTAATAATAATACTAATACTAATAATAATAATAATAATACTAATAATAATAATAATAATAATAATAATAATGGTAATAATAATAATAATGGTAATAATGGTGGTGGTAATAGTAATAATAATAATAATAATAATAATAATAATAATAATAATATAATAATAATGGTGGTAATAATAATAATAATAATAATAATAATAATAATAATAATAATGCTATATTAGGACCTACATGGTTGCTTTTGGATCAAAATTTGCTGCATTTTTTATTTTCAAAGTTAAAAGGTTGTGTTTCACCAAGATAACTCTAATTTGGGAAAAATATATTTAATAACTAATGTTAATAACTGTTTGTGTAAATTTACAACAAGTCAACAGTAAAACACAAGCACGCCCTTGTCATATGCAATAACTAGTTTCGCCACTAGAGGGCAGGAGACATGTTTAGTTTCCATACACCAGAATTTTGATGAAAGCTCAAATCCTGTTGCAGAGATTGAGGCAGCACACCTATAAATAAATGCTGGGTTAAAAGCACAACAATCCGTTATTATGTAATTTGTATTAATAAACATTCATTTGTTTCAGACATGTTCATCTAAATAAGAAGGATTTGAAGCCTATAATCCGTGTATTTGGATGCCAGACAAAGGTTTTCCATTTGGTACCCAGAAGAAACTTTGAACTGTGGTAAAAAGATTTGAGAATGAAACATTTCAGTATTTCCATGCATCTTCCAGAGGCACACGCCTCTTTCTTTCAGGCTGAAATAAAGGCAACACTAAATCTGATTTATGATGACGGAACCAGCATCAGCCTTTGGAGTTGGGGGTTATTCTGCATCAGTAGCACTAATGCAACGCGGCTGTTCTGCGAATTCATGCTCGGTCCTTTCGATAAAGCTTGAAATCGACCTGAAAGTCCTCACAGTGGGTGATGGAAGACACAGGAGAGATCTCATGTGGTTTGAAATTCTAAGTCGGAATTTCGACAAAACATTCTCAGTTCAGCAAAAAAAAAAAAAAAAAAAAGATAAATCTGAATTCTACGCGTCAAGTCCAACTTCTGTTTGATCAACAATGTATTATTTATCAAAATCCTGGAGTGGCAACATGCAGACTACTCTGCTGCGTGTCGCTTTTGTTTGTTGAAAGGAGGAGAAAACGCGTTTCCAGGCCAAAACAAAATTATTTGTGGTGATTAACAGATAAACAAGTCCAATTTACCTCGGGATACATCATCATCTGGGTTGGCTAGCTTGTCGTTCGGTGAACTGGAAGATCCAATCATGTGTTAGAAGAAAAATCTCACTAAGACCAGCAGCAGTCAGGCACACATCGCCTCAGATCTGCTCCGTTGCGCTTTTACGCACGTCTGCTTGGCGCGGCTGCGACGCGGAACCATCTCTCACTGCTTGGAGTTTAGATTCATGCTGTAAACACCAAAGAATCGATGGAAGACGCGCAAAGAATCGATGGAAGACGCGCAACTCACTGTCTCCGCCGTGTTGCACAGATTCACGCTCAAAGACGCAGCACGTAGATCACTACGGATAAACTGGAGATATTGGAGGTTCCCAAACGAAGCATCAGTTTGTCTCCCAAAAAATCCTATTTTGGACTCCAAGGCACATCAGTGTCCCACGAGCACATTATGGATATCTTGTGAAACACGATGCATTTTTTATGTATTTTTAACTAAACAACCCGTTTAAAATTTCATTTATGGAAAAATAAGGGTATTCGGATGAAGAGCTGCACAGCTTGTTTACACGCATATTTAGTAAAAGAACGTGCACATTTGGTGCTGATCGATCATATATTCGATTAAAATTATGCACTTAATTAAAAACGCGATTTCAAAGACTTGAGCATGCTTTTGATCACAAGAAATTCAACACATCCATCACATTTGTCCCCCAGACGCACGCGCGCGCTGCGTCCTATTAAATGTGTTATGAAACAAGGATCAGACATGGAATATTGTCTTCAGAATGCAAAAATGCCCAAACGCCAAAAGGCTTTTATTTTGTTGACCTATCTTCCCAACTAAACAGTAACATTTAAAACAACCCTTCTGCACTTTCTGTCCCATTTGCAGAACAAGAACTTTACATTTTCTAAAAACTCACTCAGAGCAAAGATTGGCGATTGTAACGGTTTTAAAAAATATATACCACTATTTAGCATTTTACGCAGAATTATTGAAAATAATGTAAAAAAAAAAAAAACAAAAGAAAGAAAGTCCAACAATAAGTCTGAGGTTTGACTCCTGACAGCCAGTACCTTCTTTCGGAATGCCCTCGAGCAAAACCAGTCCAACAAACCCACTCTCAGTGACAGCAAAAGCGTTTTTGTGAGCGACTGATTTAGATGAATTTGGAATCACGGAGAAGGGGAAATATGCAGGAAGGAGCTTACCTGCACAGATGCTGCGCTGACGGCGTCTTTTGGTCCGCTTCATTGCACCGTGGCTGCATGTCTGAGGACATGCTTGTGGAGACGGGCTTTGGAGACGAGGAGCGCGTCGGGAGCGCCGGTAAGGGGGGGGGGGGGGGGGGTGAAGAGAGAGAGGGAGAGAGAGGGAGAGAGAGAGGGAAAGAGAGGGAGAGGGAGAGAGAGGGAGAGGGAAAGAGAGGGAGAGGGAGACAGAGGGAGAGAGGGAGAGGGAAAGAGAGAGAGGGAGAGAGAGAGGGGGGGAGAGAGAGGGAGAGAGATTTAAAAAACAAGCAAAAGCAGATTTTTGCAGAACATCAGCGTTTTGACATTAAGCAAGCATAAACTTAGCAGTGGTCACACTTCATAGTGTGACCACTGCAAATTAATTATGACCAATAAAGTGTGATTATCCCATATAAATATGAAATATCAACCTGATTGATCTTTGAATGTTTAATCAGAAGATTCTAGGGTTCTTTGCTTGTTCAGGGACCATAAACACACTTAGTATTAATTCAGACAGAGTCAAGTATATAGTTAAAAAGGAATTTAATTATTTTCTAAACTAATGATTATACATGACATGTGATGTGTAGGTGGTGTGATGTAAGCTAGATGTTTATCAGAATCTTTGTATCTGAAAGAAATTGTGAAATCTGGGTGTGAAAGAATTTGTTGTCTGCTATAAACTAGAGAGTTGATTATTAATAAAACAGCATCCAACGCGATCTGTTGTGTCTACAAACCCTGGCGGAGGCCCCCCCGACAGATCCGGATTGTCAGAAGTCGGGTGGACTTTATGGCATCTGAAGCCAGTAGATTAACTTTAATACAACCCGTCCAGTCTTAAGATGTCTCCAGGTCACAACAGTAGCTGGAATGCTTGTCTGCGTCCAACGTGGATATGGCTCTTAAGTAGCCGTCTGGCTGTGTCAGCTTGCAGCGTGCATACAGGTTGACTTCCTCCAGCTGGTGGAACCTTGACTTTCCAGCTCTGGCATGCATGAAAGGTTACTGTGTCAATTCGATGGTGAAAATTGACCTTTTTTATTCATTACAACTTCAAATGTAGTAAGGTGAGCTTTCTTTCTTGTTCTGGAGAATTTTCAACTCCAAAAAGGTACAACGACACAACGGTGATCACAATAAAAGCTGGTTTAAGAAAATGATGTCACCACTATCAAAGAAAATGTGGCCAAACTTACTGTTTTCTTATATTCCAACAGCAGTCAAATTACTCTCATTTACTCTTCAACTTCAGACCCATCTCTAAACTTCCGTTCATCTCCAAGATCTTGGAAAAGGTTGTGGCTAAACAGCTCACAGCTGCTCTTGATGAACATAACATCTATGATAGTTTTCAGTCAGGTTCTTGTACCGCTCATTCCACTGGAACAGCTCTTCTCGGGGTCTCTAATGACCTTCTGACCCCATGAGATGCACGGGACTGTTCTGTTCTGGTCCTGCTGGACCTGACTGCAGCCTTTGACACTTTTGACCATCACCTGCTACTGGAGAGGCTGAGAGACTGACCCCGGCTTTCCACAGGAGCCGTCAGCAGCACGTTACTGCAGCAGCACGTCATAGCTGCTGATAGGAACCGCTGTGGTCAACAGAACCTTTTCCACCGGAGCCGTCAGCAGCCGTCAGCAGCGCGAGTCGGCCGCGTCTCAGGAGCAGCATGTCGCGGCCTTTACGTGCCGGTTCTATTTTCTACGCGCGACGCCTCTGAAACGGGTCAAGTTCGACATTTTTGGGGAAGGAAAGACAGGAAATCGGACGCGGAAATGGAGAGAAGCTTTCGAGATTTTCAGAATAAAGAACGTACTGCCTTCCGGTTGCTTTACTTTTAAAAAACAGTTACTAAATGTGCGGCCCCATGAGAAGTTATCACCTAGCTAGCGGTCTCCTTTGTTTTTCAGGTCCGTATTGGCTATTATAAAACGGACAGAACATAAAAAACAAACCATGTTGTAATTTTCTCCTGCTTGCTGTTGTGTTTACTGACAAAGTCACTCGTGTGACTGCTCCCCTGCTGCTTCGCGTCTCGTGGGAAGGGACAAGCAGCAGCTTACGCGAGCAAGACGTGCTGCTGCAGTAACGTGCTGCTGACAGCTCCGGTGGAAACCCGGGGTGAGTAGGCCTATCAGGAACTGCTCTGGGGTGGCTCTCCTCTGTCTGAGCATTCCTTCTCTGTGGCCGTCTCCAAGTTTAGGTCCCCTACCATCTCCCTCACCCATGGTGTCCCACAGGGTTCTGTGCTGGGGCATCTGCTCTTCCTCCTCTATCTGCTTCCTCTTCAGCACATCCTGAGCTCCTTCAAAGGAATCTCCTACCATCTTTATGCAGATGACATCCAACTGTACATCTCCTTTAAGCCCCATGAGATGTCTAAGCTGCAGCTGTTACACACCTGCTTAGACTCTATCAAAACCTGGATGGCTGGGAGCTTTCTTCAGCTGAATGAAGATAAGACTGAGATCCTCATCTGTGCCCCAGACAAGCTGCTTCCCAAAGTCAGAGACTCTCTTGGTCAGCTTACTACTCACACCAAACGTTTGACCCAGCTCTCACCCTGGATTCTCATGTCAGTTCTCTTGTTCACTCTTCCTTCTTCCATCTCAGGAACATTGCTAAGCTGAGTCCCATTCTGTCCCGCTCTGAACTTGAGAAAGTTCTCCACACCTTCATCTCCTCACGCTTAGACTACTGTAACTCTCTTTTCACGTGTCTGAGCAGAACCTGCCTGAACCGTCTACAGGTGGTTCAGAATGCCTGTGCTCAGCTTCTGACCAAGTCCTCCAAACACACCCACATCACCCCGCTTCAAGGAGACACAGGAGGAACCCAAGGAGACAAGGAGACACAGGAGGAACCCAAGGAGACATATAAAAGACATATAAAAGGGAACCTAGAGAGGGCAGGAGAACACAAGGAGACACAAGAGGGGGACGCAGGACGCAGAACATGACAGACTCACCTGTTCGGGCTGGCTTGGTGTGACCTTCATCACCACTCTCTCCTTATTCTGCTCTTACCTATTCCGCCTTTCCCGGGATCCACTGATTTCCCTCATTCCCATTCATTTTCTCTCTCCCTTTCCTTATATTTCAATCACATTCTTTTTCTCATTTTAAACATACTTTTCTTTGATAATTTTTAAGATCTTTTTTTTATATTTTAATTTTGTTTCTGTGAAGCTCCTCATGATTTTTATCTAGAGAGGTGCTATATAAAATACAATTTTCTTTCTTCTTTGATCATGAACTAAACTCTGCAGGGACTCGGTGGATTATCCGACCACGTGACCATAAATATCTGCTGTTGTCATGTCGTGCATCAGCTGCAGAAGGACTCGTTTTACCCAAACCAGCAGATTACTAACTGACTTCTGACTGAAAACAAGGAGTTTTCACTGAGGCCTCATTTTATCATGATTACCATTTACTTAACAAGAAAATCGAAAGTTCTACTGACATCTACTGGGGAAGCAAACTTGCTGCTCTTTCTGCATTTTTATGTGGACTTTTTCAACAGGTAAACAGGAAGTTGCTTGCCCTCACCTGCTGTGACACATAACTTTTGCCTCTCTTGAACAATGAAACTGATGGAAAATAAATTTTCATTTAAATGTTTTGAATTGAAAATAAATCTCTGACTGTGTTTGACAATGGCTTTAATACAGTATCTAAAATGTCAGTCCACTAATTTAAATGCAGCAGTCACACACCAGCAGGATCTGGGGCAAAATTAGCTAAATAATGAAGCTTAACAAAAATAAATAACTAAAGTATATTCTGAAGACAAAGTTATCTGAATGATTGAGTCTGGGGGAAAAGCACTATTTCTTATACTATACTTTCATGGGGTTCAGCATCTTTCGTAAGAACGCTTCTGCAACTGCAACCCGATGATGATGATGATGATGATGATGATGATGATGATGATGATGATGTAAAATAAGTATTCCAATGTCAAAATTCATAACAAGACAAGTGTGGAAAAAAAACTGTGACCACAAAAAGACATCAGTTGAGGCATGATGAGTAGTGAATATGTGGTGATGTCATAACATGACACTGATGATGGCGATGAATATAAAGAATAATGATTACAGTAATGACAGCAAACTCTATCCAAACACCATGTTTTCCAATATTTTGGATGAATTTTTCCCCCTTTTGTTTTGCTTTCTTCTGTTAAAGGTGTGGAACACTGATTATTTCTGATTATAATCGATCTCTCTGAGTTTTCACGCAGGCTGAACATGAAAATAGTCTGCTACACCTATCTCCCGCATCAGCGTCTGATTGAAAGTAGACGGTGAAACTCTAGGATTAGAAAAGCCTGACAGATCTATGTCAAGCAGTCGCTTGGACTCACCCATGCTGGCTCACAACGGGGAAGGTTGTTGTTGGTTTAGCGTCCAGAATCAGCAAAGAGCATCTCGGCTAGTAGATGCTAACTGTTAGCATTAGCAGCGCTAACACACGACAGAAGCTCCTCCAGGCATGTGTAATCTGTGTTGTTAAAACTCCCTCAGTGTGCAACACGAGTCACGGCGAAGACACACACAATGTTCACTACTCATATGAGAGGTGTGTGTGTGTGTCATGGATAGATCATGTGTTGCACACACCCACCTGTGTTATGCTGATGAACAGCCTCAAAGGCCTGCTTGAGTGCACTGCAATTAGTTACAGAAAATCACAGTTTTAATGGACTCGCTTTTGCCAAATTAAGGGAGACAAAGAGTCATCTAATGCTCTATGATGGAAATTGAAAAATACATCAGATATGTGCATATGTAAAATCCAGTGCTAATGTACTTTTCTTTTTATGGCAACATAGAAGTGTCTGGGTGGAAACACCTGCAATGGATCGTTCAGTTTTCTCACATTTAGATGTTTGCACTTTAGATCCTCTGCTGATGTTTGGTGATACCGTAACTGGTAACTGGCCTGTTTTTGTA